CACATCTTACTTAAGCCCGAGGTATCAGAGAGATTGACGAAATGGTCTATCAAGCTTAGCGAGTACAACATCCAGTTCAAGCCACGGCCAGCAATCAATGCCCAAGTCTTGGTGGACTTCGTAGCAGAATACAAGTTCAGCACGCCAGGCCCTGAATTGACTGAGAACGCTAATGTGTCAAATGCGTCAACTAGCGCGGCACTAGTCTCGGTCGAATCAATACTGACTTGGGACGAGGATCCCTGGATCCTCCACGTAGACGGCTCATCCAACCATTGAGAAAGTGGTGCGAGACTGATACTGTATGGCCCGAGCGAGGTGAAGCTAGAGTACGCTCTCCAGTTCGGATTCGAGGCATCAAACAACAAGGCGGAATATGAAGCACTAATTGTCGGGATAAACATGGTGAAAGAAATGGGTACAAAACATCTCATTGTATGCAGCAATTCACAATTGGTAGTCAACCAAGTGAATGGCGACTCAACTATGATGGCCTACTTAACCAAAGTCAGGGAGATCCTACGGGGTTTCCTCTCTTGTTTCATCAGGCAAATACCGAGGTCTGAGAACGTTGAGGCCAATGCCTTGTCACAACTAGTAAGTACCAACGACAACACCCACTCGTTGATTATCTACTCCATGGGACCCTACCTACAGAATGGAATACAACTCGAAGGGTAGAGTATCAATCAGCTCGATACATCCTTATAGACGGACGGTTGTACAAGAGGTCCTTCACGCTCCCCTACCTACGTTGCTTGCGACTCTCAAAAGCTGAGTTCGTACTCCACGATATCCATGAAGGGTTATGCAGAGGACACTTGGGGGGCAGAGCGCTCGCCCAAAAGACATTAAGGCATGGCTATTATTGGCCCATTATGAAGGCAGATGCACTCGAGCTATCGAGCTTGTTAAGAAATGCGACAGATGTTAGAGGCATGCCAACATCCTCCATCAACCTATTACTGATCAAAAGTACTTGACTAGCCCGTTGCCCTTCGCGCAGTGGGGAATCAACATTCTCGATCCATTTCCGTTGGAAACTAGGCAGAGGAAGTTCTTGGTCGTGGCAGTGGACTACTTCACGAAGTGGGTGGAAGCTGAACTGTTGGTAAGCATCACAGCCGGGAATGTGTAAAATTTCTTTTGGAAAAACATTGTGTGCCGTTTCGGACTGCCCAGAGTTTTGATATAGGATAACGGGAAGTAATTTGAGGACATTAAATTCCAGAATTGGTGCATCGAGATGGGGATTCAGCAAAATTTCACTTCGGTAGCACATCCCCAAGCAAACGAATAAGCCGAAGTGCCAAACAGGGTTATCCTCTGCGGATTGAAATCTCGCCTTGCGCGAGCTAAAGGGTTGTGGGTGGACGAGCTGCCCAGCGTCCTTTGGGCCTATTAGACTACCATCAAGACCGCGACCGGCGAGACACCCTTCAACCTCACATACGGGACGGAAGCCGTGATTCCGGTGGAGGTTGAAGCACCGACATTGCGGATTGAAGCATACAACGAAGAGGTGAACAACGACGAGCTCCGAACTAAATTGGACCTTGTTGAGGAGGTACGCGATTTGGCCCACATTCAAACTGCGGCTTACCAACAGTGAGTAGCTCAGTATTATAACGCTCGAGTCAAGAAGCGACTATTCTGAGTCAGCGACTTGGTCCTTCGTATGGTAATGGCACCTAAGCTCGACGTGGGTAAGCTCGGTCCAAATTGGGAAGGTCCATATCGGATGAGACAGGTGTTCAGATAAGCAACCTATGAGCTCGAGACCATGGAAGGAAAATAGGTACCTCGAGCTTGGAACGTTGACAACCTAAGGAGATACTATATATGAAACCCCAACACAACCGGAAAAAAAACCCACGGGATCATCGAGCTGATCCTAAAGACGACGAATTGGAGAGAGGACCTTAAGTCACTCCTAGGAGCCTAAGGGCTATGGCGCCGAACTAACAAGACCTCGACACGATATAATACCTAGTTGCCTCTTCGGCATGGGCAGAGAAGTCCTACTCGCCTCTTCGGCATAGGCAGTCTAAGACCCAGTCGCCTCTTCGGCATGGGCTCGCTAAGACCTAGTCATTTCGGCATGGGCAACCGAAAACCCCAATCGCTTTGGCATGGGTAAGGCAAAGTAGCTCGAGCACAGACAGGTCGGGCATGTACCCTACAGTGTTTGTTCACCCGGCGTACAATGACGATGGATTATTCCTATTCGATTCTAGCTTGCCATCTTGGGAGTAATCTATACTTAGAAAAATTTTTGCTCCCGTTTGAGTTTAGCTCGCCATCTCGAGAGTAATCTATACATAGAAATTCTTTGCACACAAGAAATTTTGCGAATGTTGTATTCCATTAATGAAGCATTTGGGTACATAGCAAAAAACAAATAATAAACATAATGATTACAACTATATAGCCGAGCTAAGAGGCTCGGGACATTGAGTATTTACAAGGGGCTCTGAGAAAAGACACATCAGTCAACTCGGAGCTCCTCATCCCCAACAGAGGCGTCAGTTGGCAGATCGGTCTCCATATGGTCCTCAACGGCACTACCTCCTTCTCCCTCTTCCGCTGTCTCATTGCCGAGAAGGTCGTCGTCGCTCTCCTCCTTGGAGTCCAGGTCCTTAGCGGCTTCGACGACCATCTCCTTGGTGATCTTTGATGTTGTGATGGCACTGAGGTCGAGGTGGGGGAATTCACGTTGGGTCAACCATTTGCTGAGCTTAAAACCCTTGCGGTAGCCCGCTGTCATGGCCTCGACTAGTAGCTCGCGGTGTTCCGCCGAAGACTTGTACTCCTCGACGGCCTTGATCTTGGCCTCCTCCATTGTCTGGAGCAGAATATCAGTTCGCTCTTTCACTAGCACCTTAAGGTTCTCGTTCTCTCTCTTAAGAGTCGCCTCGTGCTCCTCCAACTCCTCTCCTCCATCAACAGAGTCAGCAATTCCTTCTTATCTCGTGCATCATTTTTCAACTGGTTGATTTCGTTGTGAGCCAGGTTTAGTTCGGAGTGGGCACTTCGGGAAGACTCCTCAGCCTCGAGAGCTTGTTTCAGATTCACCTCGGACTGGTAGGTCAGGGCATCAATCGAAGAGTTCACCTGCCAAAAGAAGAAACAAAATCTAAGTATGGAAAAAAATCTAAGTGTAGTATAGCCCGAAGGTTGAGTATGTACCATCGTGGAATGTGTAGCCGCTCTGATCCCAAGCTGAGCGACCGATAAGTCAGCCTAGCGAGCAACCTCCTCAGCAAAGACTGCGTCCTTGCTTTTGAGGAGACCGAACTTTGGAGTCAAAATGCTTTGAGCAAAGGTGTCGCTACTTGATGGAGTGGTCGCCTAAACGTTTGGGTCTCGAAAGATGTGGTCTCCTCGAGCACGCGAGGCGGGGTAACCTTGCCTTGGTCCTCCTCAACCAAGTCGATCACAGGTGGCTGCTCGACGACAAGTGGGTGCTCGAGGATGGTGGCGCCAATGTCGGGGGTGGTGGTCTCTGCGTGGAGACGAGCCTTCTTGGATGCCCTCTTCTTCTTCTTCTTCTTCTCCATCAGCATGCTCTCGAAGACCTCGCCGGCGGGGATGTTAGCCATGGAAACTGCAAAGATGACAAACAAGAGTTAGATACAACAATACAACATCAAAGTAAAACAAGACGAAGAAAATAAGAATAACAGTTGTGATGACAACCTATCAAGAGGACTTAGCCCGGCTTGTACGAGCTTCTCCTCGGTCATGAAATTCTCAAACTTTTGTCCGAGCTTCGCCCAAGATCGAACCTCCTCCCGTGTCTTTTGGTCCAATCTGACGCCGGGGTCCTGGATGGCAGCCCTCCAGTGAGTCGGGAACGGCCACCCCTCGGTGTTATGGACTACGAAATAGCGTCTCTTCCGGGCCAGGACTTTGTTTGGGAGCTCATGCAACAACTTGTACCCGGGGCGAGGAGACATGTAATAGCTTCGCTTGTGCTCGGGTAGAACACAAGCTGAATTTTTCTTGATAGAGAGGACCGAAGAAAAAGTATCGAGGTCTAGAGGTCGTTTATAATCGTGGAAAAGAGAGATGGTACCTACGATGTTGCGAATAGAATTCAGATGGATTTCATCTACGCGGGCCAAGGATCCCGAAGTCGTTTCCTGAGGCCCACGGTAACTCAACTATATAAGGGCATCAACCCCTCCAAGGCCCAGGTACACGCGATTTAGTGCATTCTTGCTCTCTTTATTCTCAAACTCTCAGCTCGCATACTATTATTGACTTAAACATCAAAGCGACATCACCGGATTAGCCACCCTGAATTCTCTGATACTTCATTTTCCTTGCAGTTCGAATAACCTACTTGGCTACATGCGTCCAAATTGCCTTACTACTAGGAGCATCGAGATCACGCACCATCATTCTGCACTTCCCTAGAACCATCGAACGTTTTTCTGCTACATGGTTGCCTGGCAATAAAGCGTCCCTTGTTGCAAACCCTCGATGACCAATTTCTTTCAGCTTTCACCTTGATTTTCAGAATGTCCAATACCAACCGAAGCTCTTGAACAAAACTACTGTGACGTCGATGACATGGGAAATCCAAGTTTGGAGTTCCTGTTTCTCCATTTTGGGGCTTTTGTTTAGGGTTTTGGACTTTGCCCTCTAACAACATTTGCTGGCTCCTTCTCGACAAAATCGTCGCCAGTTCCTCGTCCTTGATCTTGTGAAAGGGCTCATTCTTCGGTGTAATCTAAAACTTGGTGAGGCGACAGATAGTTATGAGCTCTGATCCAGTGGTGATCACTCACCAACTATTCCACTCTTGGTTCTAAGCTCCGGTTCCTAAAATTTTTTATTTATTCAATTTTATTTTGAAAAATTGAAAAATTGTAAAGGGTAAAACTGGTTTTTCATCATTTTCGTTAGGATTTAAAGGCGATGACAATTGTCGGAAACAGTAAGTGATGCAAGAGAATAATTAAACAGTAATAAGAGCATAATTAGTCAATTAGCTAAAAAATAGGGATAGTTTAATAAATTTGCCCTTTTTTTCCTATCCAAAACTTCTTCGCCTCTCCCGCTCTCGATCCTTCACTCTCCAGTCTTCACTCATTTGGTGCGAATCCATCTCTCCAGTTATCCACCAAGTCTGCAATGAGTGCCTGTCTCCGCTCATCTGTTTCTTCTCTGGAATGCAATCTACGAAGTAATCGGCGAGAGCTCTCTTCCGTTTTTCTTCGTTCTGTTTATTCTAATGCATCCAATTTGTGGTTTACATCGCCACTTTCTCGAAATAGAGGCAAGTTCAAACATTCCCAGTCTTTTTTTTTCTGTTTTTTTATTTAAATCTTCTCTATCTTATAGAGCTTTCGATTTGACATATCTAGGGTTAGGGTTTAGATATAGTAGAGCACATTCGAGATGTTACGGTTGCGTTCAAGGAGCAATTTCGCGGGAAACAGAAGATTGCTTGGATGAAGCCGCTTCAGGCAATTTAATTCTCGAGCCACCGTGCAATTTGACAAAAGACAACGTCGAGGAATTGCTGGGCAACAGAGACAGCGTCGCAAGATTGATGAAGATGGAGCGAAGGTCTGAAGTTGAGGATGGAGTGGAGTTCAGTCGGAAGGGGCGCTGGTTTCCATATCTCGATATGTTTAAGACGGGGAGTACATTTCTGACGAGCCGTGAAGTACTTGAAGCTGTTGATCCATACATTTTGGACGTTCGCAAGGAGAGGATCAGGAAGGTTGTGAAGAACAGAAGCTATTCCGTCTGCTTGGTAGTTGAAGGTCTGACAGATTTTGGGAATGTTTCCGCTGTGTTCCGCTCGGCTGATGCGCTTGGGTTCCAATCGGTTCATGTGGTCTCCTGTGACAGCTCGAAAAGGTGCAACGAGAATTGAGGTGAAAGCTTTCGTTTTTATAATAACCATTTGAATTCCCATCTTGTATTCAATCACAGCTGAATCATATAAAATTTATACACATTTAGGCATATGGATATTGTATTATGCTCTAGATAAGTGTTTCTACTAATTGAAACAGTTTAAAGCCAAAGTTCTGCAAAATCTTGTACCACATTAGCTTACCACGCTCAACTGCTAGAGAGTCTAAACCTAATCTTGGGACGTTGGAGGATAGGCATTAAGCTCTCCCATTTTGGGGGGAGAAAGGTGGGGAGGGGGGATTATTGGAGTGAGAATTGGATTGACCTAAAACCAAGTGTAGGTTTTTTCCTCTTAAATGTGTCCCTTTGGAGGAGAGAATAGGTGAACCATCCTAAATGAAAATGTAGATCGAGGCCTGCATGGATTTGTTTTGGTACTACAAGGCATGTGCAGATTTTCAAATTTGCTTCTTTTTCCCTTTCTTTTTTTTTTTTTTCGCGGTCAACTATTTATTAATTTTTCCGGATCAAACATTGTCAGATTATTGTTTTACCTTTGTTTTTATTTGTCAACCCAACTTAACTCAATTGCCATAGGTATTGACAGTAGATGAAATGAGAAGATAAAGTGAGAGATCAGGATCTTCCACCTGTTGGTTCTTAATAAAATAGTAGGGAGATGGAGAGCTTAATTCTTCCATTTCCCATTTAGCAAGCAGGTGGAGTTGTGCGTGGGAAACTGACATGAACCAATAATATTTGGATCCCAAAAAATACCAAAGTGGTTTATTTACAGATGATTCCGTTTCAATTTAAACTGGATGCTATACGAGGACAGAGTGATTTTTTTTCATTGTTTCTTTCATTCCATTTCATTTCTCATATCCTCATATACTTGTTTAAGGCATAGAAACAATAGCCATTTTAACAATTTAATATGACCATTTAGGGCCTTTTTTGTTTGACTCCATGAAGTGTACCATATTATTTTTCTGTCATTAGTAGTTCTGGAAGATTGTCCAAACTTGATCTCTTAATGACAATCAACTGGTTTGGGCCGCGGGGGGGGGGTCTTATGGAATTTGCTTCCTTTTGCTTTATGCTAGTCCATGTGGAAAGAGAGGAATAGAAGGATTTTCAATTGGAGGAAATCTTCTTTAGGTAGGTTAATTGGGAAAATTGAGGTCCATCTTGGTGCTGGGTTGGGATTCTTAAAGAATTTGGTGGAACCAATAAAAACTAAAAAGTTTAAAATGTTATTCATCAAAAAAAAAAAAAGAATTTGGTGGAACCAAACAGGAGTAATATTGAAGACAATGGGATTTCATCTTCTTTGATCCTTCTTTTGCTACTTAAGAAGTGTAATATGTTAAGACATGCTTCCTTTTTGTTCTTTTTTATGCATTTTCTGGTTGAGGTAACCTCTCCCTCTTCTTCTTAATAAATATAATATCTCAGTTACCAAAAAAATGATAATAACACCCTACATGGTTTGTATTGTAGCATGGTATAGCTTTTATTTGGGTTTCGCTGGTTAAAGAGAAGCAAGATGTAGCAGTTTTTTATTTCGATCTCCCTATCCAAGTTTTTTGTAGGTATCTATCTTTTATTTGACTTCTGAAACCTTCTGCCTCATTATTATAGGTATAGAGACAATCGTCATGTTAGCATGGGCGCTGAGAAATGGTTGGACATTGAACTATGGAACTCCACCAAGGAGTGCTTCAGGGTGTTAAAATCACGTGGGTATCGCATTGCCACAACACACGTGGGAATTGATGCGGTATGGATCGGCCTCATCTCAGTAAGAATTGCATCAGGATATGTGGGTTTGTGTATTAAACTGCATGAGGGGCACATTTCTACCAGGCTTATCTATTAACCCTTCTGGACCTTCTTCCTAGATAAAATATGTGTACTGACTTTCAGTGTCATTAGAATGTATGTTCACTTAATTATTTGTCACATGTCACACACATATTTAGCATTGTCTTCTAGCTTTGAGAAGTCATTTAGTTTGTTAATCATGATAACTGGATGACTGAACTGATTTTCTCTGTGTGATTTCTAGGTTTCAATCTATGACATGGATTGGTCATGCCCAACTGCGATTGTTGTTGGAAATGAAAGTAGGTGAGTATGTTTCTAAAATCTTTCTATCCCCTGTTTTTTATAAGTAATTGCTCCATCCACTGTTATTGACGAGTTCGAGATTTATTATTTCATTGTAATGCTCTAGTCTTTTGTGAGGAGTGTCATGTGAATCAGTTAGAGATGAGAATAATAAAGCAAAGTAGTAATTACCTGTCATCCATGCATGTATTTCTGCATATCATGTTACAGGATTACTGATTCCCTCCTCTTCACCTCCCAAAATAAATGAATAAATAACACATGTGCATAGAGGCACTACAAAACAATAGGAACTTGTGGGCCACTAGTGTTTTCTATTGTGCAGTCATTCCTTATAAGCTTAGCTAGGAAGCATTTCATGTGTGAATCATTAAATTTGGGGAAGTGTAAACTGTCTTTTCCAATACATAAGTAAATCAGATTACAAGAATAGCAGAATTTTGTACAGCCAGTTTTCTTTCCAAGATTACTTATTTAATGCAAACAATGTCTTTAGATGATTATCTATCTGGTTGTTGGCTGATAAATTTGTTGAATGCTACTCTCAGTTGTGAATTTCTTATTGATGTTTACCAAATTCTCGATTGCAGGGGTATTAGTGACGAGGCACTCAAATTGTCTGATTTGCATTGTAGTATTCCTATGAAGGGAATGGTGGACTCCTTCAATGTTTCAGTTGCTGCGGGCATCCTCATGCACCATGCTGTTTGTGATAGAACTTCTCGCCTGGTAATGACTATTTTTTTTGATGAATAATAATAAGTTTATTGATTCAGAAGCAACTTTAGAGTGAGTTCATACATCATCCCAACGAGAGGCACGAGCTGCAGCCCCTCCTTGAGTCTTACAAGTAAACTAGGAAAGAAAAACAATAATCACAACTGAGCCCAAAATAATTCT